TGCCGAGTATAATTTCTTAACACACTATAATATTTTCACCCATACTTAACCATTAAGTAATTTATTAGATATTTTTAAAATATAAAATAAAAAATTTAAGAAACAAATCAAGTCGATACAGTTGACGGAAGCCATAAAGATCGTATAAGAATATTAATTGTCTGTTTGATTAGCATACTTCCATGCCCATTCTATATTATTTATTATGCGACTTTTTCCCGAATCGAATTGACCGAAACATATAGTGTAACTCTTATGTATTCTGTACTTTATGCCAGTAGCACTTTAATCCAATGCATTGAGGAAATTTGCTTGGTTGTTATCTCAAAAGATTTTCGTAAAGTAATCAAGAGCCAATTTATCAAAACTACACAAACTCTTGCTGTTGCTACAACAGTCTATGTCCCACAAGCTTCACAACCACAAAGAATGCGTCAATTTAATGTACAACGGGATAATCTTGTTCGTAACAATTGAAAGGGACTTTACTCCTCGATTTTTCTGATTTCTCTGTGGCATATTCAACGAGAAATCCATAAAGAAAAGATTATTTTTAAATATAAATTAACAATTTTTAAATATGTATATAAAGATATTTGATTTTCTTTTTTCACCACTGAATCTACATATGCCGTCCCGGATGAATTTTTAAAATATATATAGTACACATAAATCTAAATAAAATTGTATAAAAATGGTAATTGTATAAAAATTGTAATTTTCCCTTCAAATCCCCTGATTCCTCCGTGATATCAGACAGCTTGTAGGGATAAAAGTAATTGTGTGATCTTGAGTGTGTATATTAATAGGATTAGTTGGACATATTTAGGAAATAAGGATTCTGGTATGAAGCATTTCTATAGACACTAAGTGTTCCCCTCTACTCCCCGAAACTATATCTGCTTGAACGCCGAAATCGATCAAATTCCCGCCTTAATTCTCCGATATCTATTAAGATCACCGTAATCCCACAAAACACTCCTATATCCCATTAATCTTAATATTAATAAACTAATAAGTCTATAAGCATATAAAACCTCTTGAATTTTCTATGCTGCAGGCGAAAATTTTGAAAAATTCATGACTAAATTAAAATTCTAAATGTTTTTTGAAATTTAAAATATAAAAATATTATTTAAAGATTTAAAATGAAAATAAAGTTTAAAAACATTTATTTTTGAAATGAAAAATTTTTTCGAAAATTTTGAAAATTTCATGCTATAATTGCTTCTTCATTGAGAAGCAATTAAATATTTAAGAATAATAAATTTTAGACTTTTCTTTTCAAATTCTAATTATTTTCCCCGTTTAATTTATTTTGTAAAGGAAGAGAATAAACAATAAAAGAAAATAAATGCTTTAAATAAATGTAAAAATAAGGAGAATTAATGTTTGATTCGAGAGTGTTTTTAATTTAAAAATTTTTTTGTCTTTGATAAAAAAAACTCAAATTTTTTATATATAATTTACACATTCTTATTAATTAAACGTACGTTAAAAAGTACACAAATTGGGTATATAAGATGCGACTGCACTTATAAACTTGAGGCACTTAAAGTTAAGTGTATGTCGGCGTCAGAATTTAATTTCAGGGAGATTTTAAAATAGTCATTAATGATGTTGAGACTTGGTCTCTTCTCGGGGTTTCCCGGGGTTTCTGAGCTCTCGGTTCCGGGCTTGATTCTCGGTCTCGATTCTCGGCTTTTTTAACTCCCGACCATCACTAATATAATGGTTGACCCAAAAAGAATGAGCCCTCTTTTTATCCATAAAGGGCTCATTCTTTTTGGGTCAACCCATTACATATACCAATTATAAGGGTACAGCCCAAGTAGTGGGCGCAAAACCATAACATGCTTCAAAGATTTCCGAATCTTACCAAATTTAGTATTAAACGATTCCTCTCATCGAGCTAAAAAGATTGGTACCAAAATTGTTAAGGGCCAGAAATTTTCTAGCAAGTTATGGCTTTGCGCCTACTTGGCCGCGCGCCTACTTGGAAGTCTTAAAGAATAGTATGGATGCCGTTCAATTAGAATAAATAAAGTATATTAACATTTAACTATTTTATTTCAACATAGATTAACATATATTTAATAATTTAATTAATTAATTTATATCTTTTCTTAATTAACATTTTTTCTTAATTTAATTTATATATCCCATCCTATAAATATTAGCACGCCACAATTGAATCTAAAAGAAAAAATATTAAATTAACGCTGTTTGAATATTTAAAGATTTTTTGTAAAGTTAAATTACTTATAAAGCAAAATGAATAGACTGCCCTCTCCCCTCCTTTTAGTTTAAATTTTCAGAAATCCGCTTTAATTCGAATTTTTTATAATTGTGTTTATTTGCATATTATAGAAAGCTAAGATTTTGGTGAGCTAAAAATAATAAATCTTACGTATAACGGGTGATTTAAAATTTTGTTTACCTCGTATTTCAGCCAGAAGTACAGGCAGGATGACCAGTACAGGGAGGACCAGCAAGACAATCAGGACAACAAGTAGGTGTACAAGGACCTGGGGGGGTCCCCGTACATTTACTCGCATCTCCATCACAACAACACGAATCAGTCGATGCAATATTAAATTTTAATATTAAAATAAAGCATATAATAGTAAATAAATAGAGGAATTTAGTTGGAGACATTTTCAAATATATTAAATTTAGTAAATTTTATTTATTGATAGAATAATTGAAAATCAACCTCATTTTATATTCAAGAAAATAGTTCAATTAATTTATTACACGTATTGTGTTTTTACAAAATTTTATTTTATTACCACCAAAAATGTTGCTACATCCCAACAAAAATATTTTGGTGTACACCCCACCCAAAGTATCACCAAACTGGTTAAGAATTTTTATGAGGGAAAAAAGTAGGCGACAAACAGTGAAAGGAACTTTTTAATCATTTTTTGATAAAATTTATTTGTGACGGTCGGGAGTTAAAAAAAGTCGAGAGTCGAGACCGAGAAGCAACCATGAGACTAGACTCGGACCGTACTCGAGAGTCGAGAGATTAAGAGTGAAAAAACCCCGAGAAATTTCCCGACTCGAGAGTCGAGACCGAGACTGAGAAGCAATTCCGAGACCGTGACTCGGACCGAACCCGTGAGTCGAGACCGAGAATTGAGATATTAAGAGGGAAAAACCCGAGAAATTTCCCGACTCGAGAAGATTTATCAATAATTTTTTATAAGCTTCTATTGAAGAGATTGGGTGTTTATTTTTAGATCCAAAATCGTCTTCATCAGCACCACAGGCGAAAATTTTGAGAATTTTGGAAGGCCAAAGGAGCTTCTAATGGCTTCAAAAAGCGTTTTTTTGTATAATTTTAATAATTATTTTATTTATTTTTTATTCTTTCTATTTTTATTTTTCCTCTCCCAAATGTTGATCTGATGGGTGTTACCGAAATTTTATTTTTTTAATTAAAAAAGATCGCTCTAATGTTAAGGAAATTTTTTTTATTTTAGAAAATTTTGTTTATGTATAAATTAAGCTTCGTGGAAATTTTTATTTTTTATTTAAAATAATTTTATTTTTTTATTTAAAAAAAATAAAAATTTCCACGAAGCTTAATATAAGCATAAACAAAAATTTTCTAAAATTAAAAAAAAATTTCTTTAAATTATTTTTAAATTTTTTGGTTAGTTTTCTAGTTGCGGATGATATCATCCACAACAAGTACAAAATTTTTCCTTAATATGTTCCTCTTCTCTTTTTGTTTAAAAAATATTTATTTTTCAAATAATATTGGTAAAATATTTTTATTTCTCTATATTTTATTTTTTAATTTATTTTTGAAAGAAAAAATATTATAATTTTGAAATTATTAATTTTTTGCACGAAAGCTTTTAAATATGCCATAGACAATCATTAAAGGCCTGGATTCTCGTGCAAGTAAAAACACCATTTTTGCGCTTCTCTCATAAAGAGAGCAACCGGGCATACTTAACGTAACTTTTTCTATCCCCGAACCTTGATTAAATCAAGGTTCGAATATTTTATGTATAATAAAGTGTTTTTCTGTTTTGCTCATTAATCATAGCAAACCTCTCCTCAATACCCCGTTGCCATAGGTTCGAATATTTAAAAAAGAATTGGCAACATTTTTAAATGTCCAGTCTTTCCATCTGCACCATATAATAAATTTAATTTAAAAATTAATTTTCAGAAACTTCATGATGTTGATGATGGTTACCAATGTTTTTATCCTTGGTATCTCCACCCTCAACAAGTTGAGAATAAAGTTGAAGCAAAACAGTCAGAACAAAAAATTTTAAAAATTAAAAAAAAATTTTTAATCAATTTTTTAAAGGAGAGAGGGATAAGATTACGTGTATAATTAATAAATTTCAAAAAATTAATTTTGTTGTATTTCCAGAAGATCAACTAAAGTAGAAGAGCAACAAACAATTTGTAGGATAATGAGAAAATGTTTGTAAAAAAAGTTTTACAAATTGTAAAAGTTTCAAGTTTAAGAAAAAGTTTTAAGTTATTAAATACCAATTTAGAATTGTAAAATTTAAAACTTATTTAAACTTTACAATTTGTAATGTTTTAAATTAAATAAACCTCTAATTTAAAAAAAAGTTTTATTTAAAGTTTTAAATTTACAAATTTAAAATAAACTTTACAATTTCACAAATTGTAAAAGTTTCAAGTTTTAAAAAAGTTGCAAAGTTTATTTAATAATTACTTTACAATTTTACAAATTGTAATAAATTTTAAATTTAATAAACATTTTATGCTGTAAAAAAGTTTTAAGTTTATGTATTTAAAAATTAAACTTTACAATTTCACAAATTGTAAAAGTTTCAAGTTTTAAAAAAGTTGCAAAGTTTATTTAATAATTACTTTACAATTTTACAAATTGTAATAAATTTTAAATTTAATAAACATTTTATGCTGTAAAAAAGTTTTAAGTTTATGTATTTAGAAATTAAACTTTATAATTTCACAAATTGTAAAAGTTTCAAGTTTTATTAAATATCTTTTAAATTCAATTTATTCTTTTGTAATTGTTTCTGTTGGACTAAAATTGTTTCTGAAACAACAACCACAGCCGGAACAACTTTAGTTTGAAACTTGGCCTTGACGAATTGGCATTTGACCAATTGTCTAAATTCTGTGGATATAGCTAACAAAATAATTTCTTCTGCACATTGAAGCACAGTTGTGTTAATACATGAAAATATTATTATAAAAAGTATTGTAGACGAATCATTTGAGTAATAATTAGCGTAGTATGGATTAAGCAAAAGGTATAGTGGGCAGGGAATTAGGCTGGCCAGACAAACAATCATTACACGGGTTTTGTCATTTAATGTATTTCCGTCTACTACATTTTTGTTTTTTTCTGAAAAAAAGTTTTAAGGATTTAATTACAATTTGTAAAAGTTTCTACATTAATTAAAAAAGTTTCAAGTTTTATTAAAGTTTAAACTAAAAACTTTACAATTTGTAAAAAGTTTTAAGTTTATTTACAAAAAATCAAGTTTTTAAGTAAAATCAAGTTTTACAAATTGTAAACTGTTTCAAGTTTATTTATAAAATTAAGTTTTAAGTTTTAATTAAAGTTTAAGGTTTTTACAAATTGTAAAAAGTTTCCAAGTTTATTTAAAATTAATCAAGTTTTAATTAAGCCTAAATACAAACTTTACAATTTTACAAATTGTAAAAAGTTTCAAAATAAATTATAAACTTTACAAGCAACTTACTACGTTCATAAACAAATTTAGCTATAACTGCTATATAAATTGGAGTACACAAAACTATCGCTAAAGTTAAGGGCATATCACGTATCATCAAATTATAAAATAAAACACTGTTTAAAATATTTAAATTAAATATTTAATTATTAAAATACCTAATAATTGGAATCTGTATAACATTGGTAACAAGTAAATAAAAAAATAAACTCCACAACATGCTTAAAAGCCATATAAGGAGAATTATGTATTTTATGTTTCTGGGAAAAATAAATTTTTTAAAATTAAATTTTTAAAATTGAAAGAGAGCTGGTTATTGTATTTGTACTCTCAGAAAGAATTTAAATGAATGAAAATACCCCTTCGTATAAAAATACCCCTTCTTATGGTTGGGGGCACAGTTGGATGTGCGAATGGTCTTCCAGAATGGTTCCAGGATGGTGCTATTCCATCGCCTATTTAATGAATTTTCCACAGCATAAACAATTGTTTAATGATAATAATTCATAAACAGTTATACCTTCAAAATATCCCAAATCCCAAGGAAAAGGAAGTCAGGACCTTTGAGGACCTTTCAGGATACCTTTGCCATGAATGGCCTAACTTTAGTAAGAGCTAGGTCTTCCCGGGTCTTCCGTCTTTCTTAAGCGAGGTCTTCCGTCTTCCCGGTCTTCCCGGGCAGGCTTCGATCCTGCGACCTCCTGGCAGTTATTGCTAGGCGCTTTCGCTCACCACGTACATGTGCTCTAACAACTAGAGTTCAGCGGGATCGGGATCCCGGTCGGGATCGGGCGGGATTATCCCGGGTTTTTCGAATCCCGATCCCGATTTTTCTGATCCCGGTCCCGAAATAAATATCCCGATCCCGATCCGGTCATTCTCAATCCCGAGCCGGGATCCGGGATCGGGATCGGGATGTGCATCAGATCCCGATGAAAATCCCGACTTTATAAATTGACTAGAAGTATGTGAAATAAAGTTAACAAAAGAGGGGAGGCATGAAAGTAAGAAAAATTTTCGCCTGCGGCGCAGAAAATGGAAAAAATTTGGCATGTTGACATCCAAAATCTCAAAATTTTCGTCTGCGGCGCCGCAAAAATAAACAAAGCTGTCTTTACAACTTTAATGAAATATTGAGTGATTTGGTGTGATATCGAGGGATCAAGAGGGATTGAGAGGAGTATCGGTGGATTTACAGGGATTGAGTTAGATTTGAAGAGAAATCGAGGGCTTAAAAGATATTGCTAAATGAATATATCACTTAATACCTCAATGTCAATTCTTAATCGTTCACGTTTTAGCGTAACGCACTTAATCGTTAGACTTGAATTAGACTTGATTGCCCTTGGCCTTCCAAAATTAAAAAATGTTGCCTGCGACGCTTAAAAGGGAGGAAATCTGGCACCTTGGCCTTCCAAATTTTTCAAAATTTTAGCCTACGGCGCTTAAAATAGAAGCCCAATCCCATTTATCCCCCCCATTACCTTATCTCCTCTAATCCCCTACATTATCTCCCTTAATCCCCTTATCTCCCCATAATCCCCAACCGGAAAGTAAATTATGTGTTTGTGAGACTTAAACTCTATATTTCAGCACCACAGCGGCAATTTTAGAATTATACTGAGTCGTATGTGAAGAAAATAAAAATTTTTAAAAAAATTTTTAGTAAATCCCGATCCCGATTTTTCAATCCCGGTCCCGATTCGGGATCGGGATCTCCAGTCCAAATCCCGATCCCGATTTCGGCTAATCCCGATCCCGCGTCGGGATCCGGGATCGGGATTGGGATGACTATTCCTAAATCCCGATCCCGGGTTTTTCTCTAAATCCCGATACCGCTGAACTCTACTACCAACTGTATAATCTAGAGAAAGCTTGAGAATTATGGAGCAGCCGCGGTAATACCAGCTTTATTTTTGCATTAAATCATATTCACCTTCTCTTTTAATAGAGCTTAAACCCCCACCTAAGCTTTTTAAATGCTACCCAGCTGGATCTTTCTCTTCCTTCTTCCCACATTTATAAGGGAGTCTTTCCTAACTATTGCAAACTTTGAAGCCCCATAACTTTTTAGTTTCATATCCGGAGCCAAAAAAGCCGGAAATCTGCAAGAGTAAATCGGTCGCTCTATCGATTGGTATCTAAGTAAATACAAAGTTTTGGCTTACAGTTTGTGAGTTTCCCATGTTAGTAGCAGCAAGTCTAGGCGTGGGGGGTTTATAATAGAATGGTATCAAAAATATCGAATTCGCGGCTTGGTAGGACCTTAAACTCGCCCTTCAGTTTACTGTCCATTTACATCCTTGATTCGTATCTCTGTATTTAATCTTGGCAAAAATTCGAGTACAATCAACAGCCGTATGTCTAATAATTCGAGGAGTGATTAGACAAAAATACCCCAAAATCCCTTCCACACACCAAAATCCCTCCCTCAATTTTACCTCTTCTTCCAAACCCGTTGATAACTTAAAGGGAAGAAAACAGCTTGTAAACGATTTAATGCCAATCCAGTAACATGAAAAAATGAGGTTGTTTTCAAAAGAGCTCCAAGAGGTAAAGAAAAATAAACAAATAAAAAATTTGAGGAAAAATGTGTTATTTGTTGTAAATAGCTCAAAATTGAAAGCAATTGGAAAAGTATGTTGGCACAGGACTTAAATTAGTTTTAAATTAATATTAAGGAAGTTAATGTCTTGAAGGGCTTCTGGATGGTGTACTTGGGTTTATTGTTAGCAGTGATGCGGAAGTTCCAAAATTTTGGCAGTTCCAGTTCTAGAACCGGTTCCGGTTCCAAACCGGTTCCAAACATTTCCAGAACTGGAACTCCAGTTCCGGAACTGGAACTTACGCATCACTGATTGTTAGGGTGTTCTTTAGAGGAGTTCCTGGGCGATTTATGTGGTTTATTGTAGAGTATGTCCTTGGAGTATTTGTTGTAAAGGTTGTGGAAGAGTCCATGGACAACCTATTTTAGGCTTCAAATCGCCAAAATTGGTTCGACTAGGTGAGAATGTTCTGGAGGATGTCTGGAGGATGGGGGGGGGGTTCTGGAGGATGATCAAAATTTTAAAAATAACAACGGATTTCAGCTTAATTCATCATAATAATATGGCAAAATAAAATACTTTATAACCTAAAATCCGATCCCTAGTTGTTGCTTATTTCAATATCTTGTAAAACTAATTTTTGATAAAATACTTAATTTTTTGATATTAAATTCTCTTTTAATAGAGAAGAGAAGAAAAACTAAAAATAAATATTTTTCCCTTAAATTTTTTTTCTTTTCATCTTTTCACGGGAAATAATTTTAGCTATTCGTGAGTGTTTTTTTTTGAGACTTACAAGACCGAAAATTTTCCAAGTCTAAAGACCAAAAAATCAAAGAAAAGTCTTGAGCAAAATGTCTCAAGTACAAATTATAGATGGCAAAGCTTCTCAAAAGAAGGATAAAGCTACTTAAAGTGGTTATTTAGGGAAGCTTATAGTGGGCTGAAAAACTTGTCTCTTATAATGAGGTGTAGCTTAAATAGAAGGTATTTCCTAAATTGTTCTATTTTTTCTTTATTTTTTCACTATTCCAATCTGGGGACCAACCTAAATTTTATCTTAAATAGAGGTGTCTCTAGCATTGGGGGTATCCAATATAGGGCTTATAATGAGGTTAGGGGAATTTACTAAGTCCAAGGACATCTCTATTAATGGGTTGACCCAAAAAGAATGAGTCCTTTGAGAAGAATGAGATATCTGGAACCTCGGGGAGAGAGGAAAAAAAGGAAAAGACGAGGAAACGGCGAAAACGGAGGGAGAAGATGCTTTTGGCCACCGTTTTGGACTGCTGTTAACAATAATAAATTAAACTTGCCTTGCTAAAAACAATAAAAAGAGCAGTTCTTTCCTTCGAAAATTTAAATAGAGGACGTATCACAATTAATAAAAAAATTATTGAGAGAATAGAGAGAAAAATTGAGAAAATATTAACTAGATTTAAAATAAATTGTAAATTTTGGGCAGTAATAATTTCCATTTTTAGAAGAAAAATGTGTCTGAATAAATAAAAAATAAATAAAAAAATTTATAAAAGTAAAGGAACTGAAACTCTCCCAAGATATATTCAAATTAGAGGTCAGAAAAATTGTATTTGCGGGAGTAACCCCGCACACCGTACAGTAACACCGTACACACGGAAAAGCCCGCAACCCGAAAATGTGCGGGATTGCGGGAGCGGTCCCGTCTCGCGCCGACCTCTAATCCCAATGCCCATCTGTGTAAAAAGGGTAGAGGCCGGTCAAGACAAGATCTCGAATACGGCTGGACGAAGCAATTGCGGGCTGTGTAAATTGCATAGTTTGAAGAAAATTATTTTCGTTTGTGTCCAGCCATGCTATCCAACAAAAATTCGGTTATCGAGTTTCGATACTTTTCGAGACATTTTGTAAAATTCTTTTACAACCAGTCTCTACTAAAATGGAACTTAATCAACCAAAAATTCTAAAAATATTGAAATACCCAATTATTATGAGGAAGAAAATAAGAGTGCAAGTTGTCTCAAGTACAAATTATAAATGGCATAGCTTCTCAAAAAAGATAAAGCTACTTAAAGCTTAAAGTGGTTAAGAGTACATGATAGGGGCAATTTAAATTTTCCAGTCAATTGTGAAATTAAACTCAAATAAAAATGCATAACAATCGAAACCTTATTATAAGACACCCCCTTAGTGTATCTTGTAGTGTGCCTAACTTATTGTCTCTTATAATGAGGTGTAGCTTAAATAGAGGGTAAAGATAATACTAAAAATCGAGACCTCATAAGATACCAACATAGGTTATCTTATAGCGGACAGGAAAATTTGTCTCTTATAATGAGGTGTAGCTTAAATAGAGGGTATTTCCTAAATTTTATTATTTATTTTTTATTCTTTCACTATTCCAATCTAGGGACAAACCAAAATTTTATATTAAATAGAGGTTTCTCTAGCACTGGGGGTATCCGATATAGAAATTATAATGAGGTTGGGGGAATTTATAAATGAGATATGGCTGTAAATAAAATATAATAAGTAAAGATATGTGCTAAATAAATAGTAAATTTTGTAGTTTAGCGTGAGAAAAATTAAAAAAAATTTTTTTGGAATTATAGGAATTTAAAAAAAGTATTAGGAAAATATTTTAGAAAAAAATTTTTAAAAAATCAAAAAAATTTTTTATTACAAAAATATTTCTGAGAAAATAAATTAATTGTACTAAGCACGAATAAGGACCACACTGTTATTTTAACATGTAGGTAGGCGTTTATTAGAATTATAAAAATTATATAAATGTGGGATAAATTAAAATTTTTCCTAAATTTTAAATTAAAAATTAAATAAAATTTCAAATAAAAATTGTTTGTATGTACTTAGATTGCTTAGATGATTTATGAAGGATTGTAAAAGTTTCAGGATTGTATAAAAGTTTCATGGCTTAAATGAGATATGAGAGAATATTAAAAACTTTATTTCTCAAAAAAAAGTTTTTAATTGAATTACAATTTTACAAATTGTAAAAAGTTTTAAATTAAATAAACTTTTCAGGTTGTAAAAAAAAGTTTTAAGGTTATTTATAGTTTTAAAACTTTTTTAAAAATTGAACTTAACAATTTACAAATTGTAAAAGTTTCAAGTTTATTTAGAAATAATCAAGTTTAAAGTTTTAATTAAAGTTTTTACAAATTGTAAAAAGTTTCAGGTTTACACAAAAGGTTTTAAAAAATTATTTAAATTACAATTTGTAATTGTAATAAGTTTTAAATTAATAAACTTTTCAAGTTTTAGAAAATGTTTTAAGGTTTATTTAAGGTTTGAAACTTTTTTAAATAAACTTATTTTTTACAAATTGTAAAAGTTTCAAGTTTATTTAAAAGTAATCAAGTTTTAATCAAAGCCTAAATATAAATTTTACAATTTACAAATTGTAAAAAGTTTAGAGAATAAATTTTAAAATTAAACTTAACAACCAACTTACTATATTCATCACTGAATTAAGCTATAACCGCTATAGTATAAATGGAAGTACACAGAACTATTGCCAACATTAAGGGCATATCACGTGTTAATAAATTTAATAATACATAACTGTTTAAAATACCAGTTGAAATTAAATTATAATTACATTGCCCAGCCGTTTGAATTAAAATAATATTATTAGCAATTAAATAATAAAATAACCCCCACAAAGTACTTAAGAGCCATATTAAGCAAATTGTATATTTTATGTTTCTGAAAATTAATTTTTAAATTTAATTTATTTTATGGCGCAGATGGAAGGACTTGACTTAAAAATGCTTCAAAAAAGTTGCCAATTTTCTTTTGAATATTCAAACCTATGGCAACGGGGTATGAAGGAGGTCTGCTATGATTGTCGAGCAAGACAGAAAGACTTTATCATACGTAAAGGATTCGACCCTCGATTTAATTTACCTCCTTGGGACAGAAGAAGTTACGTTAAGTATGCCCGGGGCTCTCTTTAAGAGCGAAATACAAAAATTGTGTTTTTACTAGCTATGAGTATTTTCAGGAGCAGGTCTTTAATGCCTTTCTATGGCATATTTCAGAACTTTCATACATATTTCATATCGATGCTTAGAGGAATGTTAACGGTAGAGAAAAATTTTGTTAGGAGTTCTCGGATTGGGTGTTGGATTCCCCATCGGAAATTGTTCAGGGTTCGGTTAACCCGTTACATCCCTGATGCTTACTAGATAAGTCGGAATATGACCAACTAGACTACAGATGAAACTAGCACTTAGATACACAATCAGTTTCACCAAAAAAAACTTTTTAGTTAATAGGCTACTTAGAAATACCCCAAAACACTACCCTCAATTTTACCTTTCCCCCAAACATTTTGATAGCTTAAAGGGAAGAAAACAGCACGTAAACGATTCAATGCCAATCCAAAAATATGGAAAAATAATGTTGTGTGTACAACGTTTTGAACCAACATATAGAAATCCTGGCAGATAAAAGAATGAATTGTGGAGGTCAGAGGTGGATCGGAACAGTCAGAGGTGTCGGAAATCGGAAGAGCCGGAAATCGGAAATGGCTCAAAAGTTGGAACTCGGAAATCGGAAGGACAAAAAACGTCGGAACTCGGAAATCGGAATTCCGATCCACATCTGGTGGAGGTAGAACGTTGATCTGTAACTGTCCATAAGTGTAAGGGATAAAGCATAGAATGATGGCACAAGACTAAAATTAATTTAAAAAAAAGAAAAAATTAAAGCCAGATTCTAGTCAATTTAGTGTTACAGTTAATTCTGCTGAAAGGATATACCCATATCGATAGTATTACCCGCCCATAAGGAAGTTTAGGAATTTTTTTGATTTCATGGTTAATGGATTATAATGCCAGGGGTGAAGAAGGAATTTTGACTGCCATTCATAACAGGAATGGGTTGTTTGGGGATTTTCTTCGGATCGAGTTCGGATTTCTAATCAAAAAATGTCCGTGTTTCTTCTTCTAATCTACTTTCCCCTTCTCCCTTGTAAAATAAGAATCCTTGTAATAATCCTTCTAATAAACTTGCCTTGCTAAAGACAATAAAAAGAGCAGTTCTTTCCTTTGAAAATTTAAATAGAGGACGTAGTATCAGAATTAAAAAAAATAATAAATTTATGTATTTTGTAGTTTGGCATGAGAAAATTAAATAAAAATTTTCTTCTTGGATTTTACGAATTTTTAAAATTTAAATAAATAATACCTTAAAGAAGAAAATATTTCAGAAATTTTTTTTGAGGAAAATGAATTAAGCACAAATATAAGATCACACTGTTATTTTAATATTAGATAGGTGTTTATTAGAATGATGGAAGTGGATCGAAACAGTCCGAGGTGTCGGAAATCGGAAGAACCGGAAATCGGAACTGGCTCAAAAGTCGGAACTCGGAAATCGGAAATAAAAATTTTTTTCGGAAATCGGAAGGATAAAGGATATCCAAATGAATATGAAATAAATAAAGTAAAAATTCCAAATAATTTAATAAAGGACACGCCCAATTAGGCGCGCGCCCATAACGGCGCGAAGCCATAATCTGCTGGAAAATTTCTGGCCCTTACAAATTTTGGTACCAATCTCTTCAGCTCGATGAGAGGAGTCGTTTAATACTAAATTTGGAAAGATATGGAAAACTTGAAGCAAGTTATGGCTTTGCGCCGTTATAGCCGCGCGCCTAATTGTACCCTTTTAATAAATGCAAAATTAATTTTTTAATAATTTTTTTCTTTCAAAAATAAAATTAAAAAAATAAAATATAGAGAAATAAAAATATTTTACCAATATTATTCGAAAAATATTTTTTAACCAAAAATGAAGAGGAACATATTAAGGAAAAATTTGTACTTGTTGTGGATCAGACGTGGGCGAAACGTTTCGTTTCGTTTCGTTGTTTCGTATGTTTCGTATGATTTTTACTGTTTCGTCTCGTTTCGTTACGAAACACTTTTAAATTTGTTTCGTTTCGTTTCGTTACGAAACACCTGTGATTTTTCAACGAAACGAAACAATTTTTTAAGCCTAAACTAAGGCCAAAATCTATAAAATTTACCATCTTTTATTGAAAATTTAAAAAATTTTCGCCTGCGGCGCTGAAAAAAAAAGAATTTCGGCTTCTTGGCTTTCCCAAATTGTCAAAATTTTCGCCTGCGGCGCTGAAAAAGGAAGATAGCAATTACTTATATACTACAAATCCGTTTATACTCCACTCCCTAATCCACATATACATATTACTTAATCGACGACAAATTCTATTACCGGACTCGCATCATAATTTAAAAATTGCGGATTGCGAGTTGCGGAAATACTGGAACCGGAACTTCCGGCGAAGCACTAGCTTATATCGCCTTCCTCTCGAAATGGAGATATGGAGACAATTTGGGTAGGCAATGGAGCAAGATGGTGAATTTTTTGGCCTACGGCCTTTCAAAATTTTAAAATTTTTCGTCTGCGGCGCTTAAAATAAAATTTTACTTGAAAAATATTCAATTTTATTTAAAAAAAAGCGTCGCCAAAAATTTGGCTTCGAAAATGATTGACCCCCCCCCCCCCCCTTCCCCGAAAATTTTCCTTGCTACGGGCCTGGCTTATGGGACACAATTGTTGTAAATAAACCAATAACTAAATCATTTATAAGTCATAGTCGACTAATAACGTATTTGAGGTCGAATAATTTCGAAATAAATGCAGTTTTGAAAATTTTTTGAATATTAAAATGTTTCGTTTTGTTTCGTTTCGTTTCGTAAGATTTTGGTTGTTTCGTTTCGTTTCGTTAACGAAACGATTTTTAAAAAATTTTGTTTCGTTTCGTTTCGTCAGAAAAAAATTTTGAGTTTCGCCCAGGTCTGTTGTGGATGATATCATCCACAACTAGAAAACTAACCAAAAAAATTAAAAATAATTTTATTTTAGAAAATTTTTGTTTATGTGTATATTAAGCTTCGTGGAAATTTTATTTTTTTTGAATAAAAAAATAAAAATTTCCACGAAGCTTAATTTATACATAAACAAAATTTTCTAAAATAAAAAAAATTTCTTTAACATTAGAGCATTTTTTAATTAAAAAATAAAATTTCGTTAACACCCATCAAATCAACATTTAGGAGAGAAAAATAAGAAAGAGAAAGAATAAAAAAATAAATAAAATAATTATTAAAATTAAATAGAAAAAAAATTTTTTTGAAGCTAGTAGAAGCTACTTTGGCCTTCCAAAATTCTCAAAATTTTTGCCTGTGGTGCTGATGAAAACGCTTTTGGATCTTAATCTCTCAACTCTCGGTCTTGACTTCTGGCCGAGTACTTCTCGGTTTCGCCCTCGAGTTCGGTCCGTTTCTCGACTCTCGGGGTTGCTCTCGGTCTCGACTCTTATTCAAGAATTATTCGAGACCCTCGGTCTCGACTTTCGAGTCGGGAAATTTATCGGAGTTTTTTCCCTCTTAATCTCTCGACTCTCAGTCTCGACTCTCGAGTTCGGTCCGAGTCTATGTCTTTGGATTGCTTCTCGCTCTCGGCTTTTTTTAACTCCCGACCGTCACAAATAAATTTTATCAAAAAATGATTAAAAAGTTCCTTTCACTGTTTGTCGCCTACTTTTTTTCCTCATAAAAATTCTTCCCTAGTTTGGTGATACTTTGGGAGGGGTTTACACCAAACAATTTTTGTTGGGATGTAGCAACATTTTTGGTGGTAATAAAATAAAATTTTGTAAAAACACAATACGTGTAATAAATTAATTGAACTATTTTCTTGAATATAAAATAAGGTTGATTTTCAATTATTCCATCAATAAATAAAATTTACTAAATTTAATATATTAAAAATGTCTCCAACTAAATTCCTCTATTTATTTACTATTATATGCTTTATTTTAATAATGATAAAATATACGGCACAGCAGGCTTGTTCGCCTTCAGGTTGTCCCAATCCGCCTTGTTGTCCTAGTCCTCCTTATTCTCCTGATATGGATTGTACTCCTGATTGTTGTAATGGCTGTCCTCTTGGCTAAAATACAGGTAAATAAAAATTTTAAATCACCGGTTATAAGTAGGATTTAGCATATTTTTAGCTAACCGAACCGAAAAATTCGGGTTTCTATAATTATTCAAAAAAGACAATTATAAAAAATCCGAAAGGGGTGTGTCTGAAAATTTAAACTAAAAGGTGGTTGGAGGAAGAGGAAGGTTAGATAACCATACAAAAAAATTTTAAATATTCAAAAAAAGCGATAATTTTATATTTTTCCTTTAGATTCAATTATGGCGTGCTAGGATGGTAAATAAATTGTAATTAAGAATAGATATTTATTAATTTATATATTCATTATTAAATATCTATTTAATTTATGTTGAAATAAATGTTAGATGTTAATATATTTATTTATTCTAATTGAATGGCCGCCATACTAATTTTCTCTACCCCTAAAAAAATTCGAACAACTGTAGGGGCCATTCAAATAAAGAGGACTATTTTATTTTTATAGGTAGAAGTGAAAAATTATATTATTACTAAGTTAAGTAAATTTATTTAAATCATATTAAAATTAATGTTCAATAGTTAACATATGTTTTGTGTAGTGTAAGGTGTCGCATCCGAATCCGAAAAAGGCCGGATATCCGGAAATTTTCTATTCGAATATCCGAATCCGGATATCCAACATGTTCCTATGGCATATTCAACGAAGAAAAGGAAAAGAATTTTAAAAATTATTCGACAAATTTTTTTCAGAATTCTGATTCTTAACTTTGAGTAAGTAGAGCTCTCTATTTTTACAAAATCACTTCATATAGATTCACAATATAAAGACTAGTGGGGAAAGTGGAACGAGAAAATGAGTTATATTTTATGGGAGAGGTTATACTTTAAACGATGTTTTGGTAAGACCGACTGATGTCCAATCGAGTTTTCTACATAAAAAAGAAAGAACAACTGATGTCCAATCGAGTTTTCTACATAAAAAAGAAAGAACAAAAATATTAATGAAAAATTCAACTGAAGGGAAACAGCGGAATTTTAGAAATTTTCTAAAATACCCCCAAAATGATAAATAAATACCCCCCAACTTAAAAAATTGCCCTACCTTCAACTCAATGAGTTCTCTATCGAAAAACTTGAAACCCGGGCTATTTTGTAGCAAATTTTATGGGCTAAATTGTAAAATATGTTTGGAATATTTTAGAATAATTTAGAGTTTTCTAGAATAATTTAGATTAGTTTAGAATGTATCTTAAAACAATATTTAATTAAATAGATTAAGTATAATGATGATAAAACAGCCAGTTAACGGAGTAAAAATATCTAATCACTATTAAAAAATCAAATGTAGCAATATTTTTCTTCATAATTAAAAATTAAAAATCCATTTAAGTTTAACATATATTAAATAAAAAAATTTTTAAATGAAAAAGAAAGAATTAACGCTAAAAACAAGCTGACAATAATAATTTAAAAAAGT